CCCCCAAAACCCCAAAACCCCAAAACCCCACTAGCGTGCGAGGAAATTGAAGTTATTATTTATTTACGGATGAACAAAAAGAGGGTTATAAAGGAAAGAGCCAAGAAGGAACAGACCCTGAGTGCCAAGGAGAGATCAAGGATTCATAGGGAGAGGAAGAAGAAGTATTATGATGACCTGGAGAGGAGGGTGCATGAGTTGGAAGAGGAGAATAGAAAGTTGAAGGAAAGAATAAAGATGAGTGAGAGATGGGTTTGGGAGTGAAGTTTGGGTTTTGGGTTTATACGGCAATTATTTGGAATAGGTTTTTTTGTTAGATTATAAGAAATTATAACCTTAGAGGTTATGGTTTTGACAAGATTTTTGAATTGGTAGAATTTATGATCTTTGTCTAACTTTGTACAAGTTGCTTCAAATACTTCTCCAAAAATTGATCCTCTGTCTCAACTTCACCAGGAGGAAAATTTCATGTACCGGGTGCTTCCGAAGGTAATCTCTCAAAATCCAGACCAGTTCAGGATGTCCATGTATGAGACAGGTCGTGATATAGAGGGGCCCAACGGATCTTTAAGAGTCAAGGTTATTAAGGATGCGTTTAGAAAAATAATTGATAACTGAATGTCGCCGCATATGAAGTTCCCTCTAGCAGCCTTCACCCATATTGAACCGAAGAAGGTCTACAGCACTTTGAAAGATATAGCTAGAAATAATAGAGTCCCTTATAAGTATTACCGTGCTGATAACGAAAATCAAGGCCAAGGAGAAATGCAATCTAGTCATCTGGGAGAGAAAGTATCAGCCCACCGCTATTTCATGGAGTCTTTATTATATAAATATCCGTTTTCAGAGAGAATGGTTGACTGCTGGATTTATATTTCACCTAGAACAAAGAAGTTCTGATTCACAATGAGAAAGTTAGTAAAAAATCTAGTCAAGGTTCGAAATCAAATGTTAAATGCAATGAAAGAAATTCACAAATGATTCTTTGAAGCAAAAATGTACGAGAGTTATACTAAGCAAGATTTGGTGAATATTCACTTACTCAGCAACGATCTGAAAGGGAGCGAAGTTATTGATCCTTTGCACTTGTTCCAGGTACTCTCTCTCCTCACATATAGCTTTCTCCTAAATCCCCAGATACCGAGGACTACAAAAACGATGAAATCTCCTGAACAGAGGATTAATCTCCCCTATAAAAGACTTTGACTCAATAACCACGACCACTCACGGGGTTTTGGGGTTTTGGGGTTTTGGGGTTTTGGGGTTTTGGGGTTTTGGGGTTTTGGGG